TAATCGGTGTGGGCCTGGCTAGGGCCGGTGACTCCCACATGCCTCTAGACACTATCAGGTAGAGCCCCCGAGCAGCATTATTTTCCTTAAAAACAAAAACAAAACTGAAATCTGAGTCATTTGTGCCTTGAGATCAAGATTGCTCTCAATTTTTCCAACATGCGAGAAGACAAACTGCAGGACCGTCTACCAGCCTGGCCAGGCCCGCGTGTCTCACGTTCCCAGGAAGTCCCCAGGTCATGGCACCGCAAAACTTCTATTGCAAGAATAGTTCTCTGTTCTCCTGGGGCAGGAAAGGGAACAGACTCCTTGTCTGGTTTCTCCTCAGATGCCTTACCCTTCAGGGTTCCCAGGTTCTCACTCACACCTTCTGCAATCAGAATAGCCCTCGCCCGCGCTTCAGACAAGTTGAACAGCTCCTTAACCTGGAGCCTAATCCAAGAGCAACTGAGGAGGGGGAGACCGGAGGGGGTGAGGGCAGGGGACAGAAACGAAGAGACAAGTAAGATGGGTGAGGGAGGAAGTGGAGTCCTCGTCTGAAGACTTTTATGGGTCCTTTGACAAGAGCTTCATAGTGTTCCCTTGGGATTAAAAATAACATCCACAAATGATCAGATGGTCCCCCTCTTTAATATACAATCTACTAGTGACTTCTAAACAGCACAGACCCTGGAGGACTTTCTATCAACTTCGCTGTTCTCAGCAGCAGCAACACCCACCCAGAGGAAAATCCTGGAAGTCTAGGAGCTAAAAGAACAGAGTCAAGAGAAGTGAAGGCCTCCCTATTACTCGTGCACAGAAATAGAATCCAAGCACAGGTTTATCCAACATTTGTCAGCCACTCAACCAAACTGAACATCAGACTCATCACAGCAGCTTTTTAAAAACATGAATTCCCAACCCCATCCCCTGCCTGCTAAATCAGAGAGTAGGGTCCAAGAATCTGGGTCTTTCTAAGCCTCCCCAGTGATCCTTAGACAGTCACACTGGGAAAGTGCTTTCTGTTCAAGGTTACAGGTCATTACTGGTTTCTTACACGTCTGATTTGCACAACTAGATCAGAAGACTATTTGGAGATAGGACCATGTCTTAGCTTCCTCTTGAATCCGGTGCAGTGTCAGCCCACACAGGTGGGCACACCATATACGCTCAACCCGCTTGTTACATGGAATTAAGTTTATTCTGAATTGCTTTTCATCTTCATAAAAAGCAGAATTATATTTCAGTAAGGTTATCCCTATAAAAATTTTTTTTTATCTTCAACAAATGAGATTAAGCAGACTCATGGGATCCAATAAGAATATTTAAAATTTCCTCTTTTTTAAAAAAAGTACACTTCCTGACTCTGGAAAGACAGCTCACAATCTAATGCTCTTTCTCCTTTTTACAGCTTCTTCTGAGCAAACTCATTCACAGAGGGGACGGATTACCAGTCTCTTCTGATGATCTGTTTCTTTTGCTTATCTTCTACTGAATTTAAATAGGGTCATTATTTTAAACTGGAATAAAATTATTTTATACACCATGACTCAGAGAGATCTTGTTTCCATTAAAATCCTCTATACAATAAAAATGGGTTCTAACACAATACTTTGTGTAATAATACTTCCCAAGACACCTCCGTCCGAACGACGTGCACACCAAAACCCCTCCCCTTTCCACCACAGACGGCTGTTCGGAAAAGAAAGAAAGAAAAAGAAAAAAGCAGTTTTGTACTTTTCTATTTTTTTTTAACCGTCCTGGTTTTCTTGTTCTTACCCAAGAGCCTTGCTCTGGAGGTTGGTGTCCACTGACAAGAGTCCTGGCCTGGTCTTTTCTGGAGAGATAACTACTACGAGTCCCTAAGCTGCGGCTGGGCAGCCACACCGGGAAGCTGGAGCCTCCTAGTCCCAGGTTGTTCCACACCCTCGGGCCCCCGGGGGGTCACAGCAGAGCGTGGCGCGCAGGGCTGGGCCGGGCTCACCTGCAGGTGGTTGCCAGTCGGAACAATCTGAGGGGCTGTGGGAAAGACAGCTCTTCCCGGCGCGCACGGTGGCAGCGCATGCGCATGGCATTGGCGCTGGGGTCAGAGGGCGCGCGTAAGCCTGCCGTCCCCAGCACCACGAGGGCCACGCAGGCAGAGCCGGCTGCCAGAAAAAATCTCTCTCAGCTTCTTGCGAACATATACAAAGTCCAAAGAAAGACGTAAAACTTTGTTTTCCTTTCCTATCAGGGCATGTCTCAGATCAACAGTCTCTTCTATTTCTTTTCTACTCCTTTGTCTCATATTCGTGTCCCGGCCCCTCCTTCCACCATACCTTGTGGTACAGGCATTGGTCCAGGACGGACACACTGTTCCTGGCCCCACCTCAGGGAGGCAAATGTGGATCCTTATGTTCTTCAGGCTAGATCACTTGGAAAACAGCAAACCCTCCTTCCCGTACTCATCACCTCCTGTGACACAGCATAACAAGCTATTTTGCGAAAAGCCTGTCACCCCACCATCTTTGGTCAGATCAGATCAGGATGCTACTGGTCTTAGCACAGCAGAAAAGTATTTGGCCTTAAGTCCCAGTCCATAGAGCTTTAAATTTAGTGGGTTATTTCCATTATACAACACCTACTTCTTTTAACATTAGTAATAATATTTACAATAACAACTAGCATTTATTGAATACTTACTTTGTTTCTGACACTGTTATAAGTCATTTATCACCTCTTTTAATCCTCACAATACTAAAAAATAGAATATCCAATTTTATTGGAAAGAGGTTAATTTCCCCAAAGTCACAGTAAGTGGTGGCACCAGGATTTGAACCAGGAAGTTGGGTTCACCATATTTGATTGCCATGAGGCTACATGTAACCAAAGGGTATGAAGGTTCAGTTATGCAAAATGAACAAGTTCTCGAGACCTAATGTCCAGTATGGTGATGATAGTATAACAATACTATATTGTATACTTGAAATTTGCTAAGAGTATAGACCTTAAGTCTTTCCACACACAGCACACACACACACACTCATACATATAGTAACTATGTAGAGGTGATGAATATATTAATTAGCTTAATTATGGTGATCATTTAACAATGTATACATAGATCAAAACATCAAGTTGTACAACTTAAGTATGTACAATTTTTATATGTCAATTATATCTCAAAGCTGTTTAGGAAGAAAAAAATGGATGATTTCATTAAATTAAATTCTCCAAATGTTAATATTTACCCTTGTGGCTTTATATGCACGCACATACACACACTTTTGTTTTTTGAACCGTTTTGCCATTAAAGACATGATGTCTTTTTAACCTTAAATGGTTCCATGCACGTTTCCTAAAAAAAATAAGGACAACCTCTTATACAGCCACAATGCTATTATTAAAATCAGGAAATTAACACTGACTTAATACTATTATGTACTCTACAGCCTTATTCATATGTTTTCAGTTGTTCTAATAATAGCTTTAATAGCAAATTAGGCAGGGAGGTAAATAGCTCAGTGGTAGTGTGCATGTTACCAAAGGCAAGCTTGTGTGCCCGCCACTCTACCAGGACAAATTGAAACAAACATCAACATTGGAGCAGAGAAAGGTTTACTGCAGGGGCGAGCAAGGAGGATGGGGTGACTCATGCCTAAGAAAACCCCGAACTCACCAAAGGATTTCAGCAAAACATATTCAAGGCCAGGTGAGGGAGGGGGGGTCTCAAGGTCCATGATCAGCTCCCACACAGTCCTCTGGTTGATGGGGAGATAACAGAGCAGTCAACAATATCAACCCCCAGGCACCAGAAGGTCTGGGGGCAACGCACCCTCATCAAGTAGTTAATTTTTTCCCTTTGGTGGTGGTTTAAGCATCTGAAAAACTCAGGAAATATACATGAGGTACCATTATCTGGGTGCTTCAGAGAGGACCTGCAGCAGAGGATATGGGGGAGGGGTCCCTGGAAGGCCCCCCAGGGTCCTGCTTGGTTACATGCATGCTTAGCATGCAGAGGTCCTGGGTTCAATCCCCAGTAACTCTACAAAAAAAAAAAGGACTACATGTAGCCAGCCAATATTTTATAATAGGGTCAATACAAGTTGTTAATCTGTGAATCAAAATACCAGGAACTGTGGTGCCTGGAATTCTCTGGGATGTATATGATCAGACCCAACAGGAGGGATCCAAAAAGATGGATGAAATGATTTATCAGACACTACAGTACTTCATGTCGTAAAAATCATAAATTTCTTGGAATTTTGTGCTCATTTATCACTGAGCACAAACTATATCCACTGTGTAGGTAGAAAGAAAAAAAAGGCATAGCAGGAACAAACAGATTCAGAGAAGGAAATGGGTATTTTTCAAAAGAGTTGTTGCATCAACTCTTCTATGGTTTGAAACAATTTTACAACAAATTCTGATGACAAATTATTTTGCCACACTTCATCAACAGGTCCAGAATTTTCCAGTAAATACAAATTTCAGATTTTTAAATATTCTGCATGACATCAGTTTTTTTAAATTATGCAGTACAAATGTTTTTGAGTGCAAACATGGATAAGTAAAATATCTTGTGTTTATTTCTTAGTGTTATAATGTGTTTATATGTGTATGTATGTAATTTTAGAGTAAACCCAAATGTTCTTGATGAACCCAAAATGGTAGAACTGCAGTAGACTTCACACAACAGACTTACACGAAATATTTATATTAAATAAATGATTTTCTAAGACTCATGCTTTTTAGGCTCATTTATATCACACCATATCTATTGTCATAAACTGTGTGTGCCTTTCCTTTTGCACTGAAACAAGGCTGGTTCCAAATATTCCAAGTAGACAGTTTCTTACTGTAGTTTAGTGAAGGCTACAAAACTATCCGATTTGTTCAAAATTAATCAGTGGGGTGCTGAAGGACTTTTTTCCCCATCAGAAATGAAGTCAAAAAGCTTATCTATCTATATATAACTATACATCTCTTTGTTCCCCACTTGAATATAAGCTCCTCTGAATAAATTATGCTCTTTCTCTTGACCCCCGCCCCACCATACGCTCATAACTACTGTTAGCAAATATCAGTAGGCAACCAGCTCCCAGCCCAGCCAACCCCTGTCCCTGGGGAAATGAGTCAAAGTTTAATCACCTGAGCAGAATCTCTTTTATTGAAGAGTTATCACCTGGTGCCCTTGAACACAATTCAGTTTATCCCTTAGGCTTCCTTAGGAGGGAGTTCGTAAAGGTGTATGTGCCATGAACCTTACTGGCCACAGTGAACTTATTCTGGTGACAAAGTTCCTTTCATAAAAGAAGTTGGATACACAGCCGAATTCCCTATGTTGCTTACTGTCAGTTCTCCTCCGTGCCAAGCCACCCTCATCCCACGAAAGCTGAAGGACCCTACCACAAAATAAGCTCCTTTCTGGCTGAGTCCCCATCGCCCACCCCACCCTACCCCCACCTTGCCTTGACGTTGCACCCATTCCTATAGCAGAAAGTTGGCCCTTTTTTGCCTGCAGAAATGCCCTCGGTCAGTTCTTCACCCTGCACACGCCCAGGACGGTGAGAAGCTCAGGTGTCAGCAGCTGTTCTTGGACGATCACCTCTTTAGTTCTCTTCCGAGTCCAGTTGGTTGAGTCGCTTTACAATTATGCTGTTGATTTTCTTAAGATCGTCTATGTCCTTTCCCTCAGCTGCTAGTCTTCTTGACACATCTTCCATCTTGTTGCCCGTTTGAACTTTAAAATGGAAAACAGACAGTGTTCACTGGTTTTCAGCATGTTCCATCCAGACTCAGAGCCCTGAGGGCAGGGGGAGAGAGGGGGCTCGGCTGAGCGCTGAGATGCCCCCTTGGCAAATCCCCTGCTCTGATATCCCACACAGCCCAGAAGCCCAAGAGAGAAATTGCTGAAGACTGAAGTTAACTATCAAGTGAATGATTTTTACAATTTCTTGGTGCCAGACTTGACTACCTTCAGCAGCTCTGCACAGATTTTGGCTGAGAAAGACATTGCTGCAAGCAACTGAGGGAAACTGCCAGCGTGTCTGATTATCCCCAGAGAAGTGATTGTTATGTTGTCTCATTTTGAGACTCATTCTCAGAAAGAGTTTTTTGCTCCTCATTTGGGAGGTGAGATTTTTTGGGTTCTCGCCTATTTTGACATAACTCTTCTGGTTCTAAACCACCAGACCATAATGAATGTATAATAATTCTCCTCAGACCACCCTGAAAGCAGAGAGACCATATTTCCAAAATAAACAGAACCCCTGGTTACTGAGTAACCCAGGGAACGGAACAGCCTGAGGTCTGTTTAGCAGAGTTAAAATTTCTGAGAAATGCAACACAATATCAGTATTTAATATTTGGGCTTCTTATCATTTCCATTTCAGGCAAGTTTTTTCCAAGGTATCTTTTAAGTTTAGCAGAAAACTAACATGGAAATGTCAGAGCTTCACCTTCCAGCATTGGGACAAATTGCTGCCCAGAAGCTACTTATATCTCCCATGTCTGAAAAATTATTTTGGAAGTATTATGGTCCAAGACATGACAGAAGAGTCTTATTGAACATTGCTGCAGAGTGAGGTACCACTTGCTTCTGGGGAAGAATGTGAAACAAACAAATCCACAGCATGTGACATCCCTTCCCATCTTGGGAACCTTCTGCATGTGTCAAACACAGAAGGAAGTAGTGCCATGTTGGACTAAGTCTGTTCCCCAGTACAGTGGTTCCAAATTAAATCCCCAAAAAGAAAAAGGGTTCCATGTGCAAAAAAGTTAAAGGAAAATTATATCTGACTTGTCTTTTGGAAATTCACAAGGAGTGGGAAAAAAAAACAAAAAAACCTTGAGCATAAACTTATACAGTAATTCTCAAACTCATTTCAGCACAGGGCCCTTTAGAGACTGCTTTTCTTATCCCTTAAGGCAACACTTAATAATATCCCACACACCTAGCATCTACACTGCTTGGCCACTGGAAACTGCTACCAAGGCAGGTAGGCATCCTTGGTCATCTAACTTGGTGTCCATTGTTCCTCTTTAGGACAGAGATTGTGACAAAAACATAAGGCTCAACAGTTTAATCAATGTAATCAGTATAAAATAGCCTATTTCTTTTGCATAAAATTATAAAGAATTATAAAGAATGTAAGTTCTTGCACTTCAGTTAAAAGAATACACGTGTGCACTGAATCCCATTGAGAGTGAAAAGGTTTCCTTGTTAAAGATGCACACAGACCAAGTTCATTTACAGGGTCCTGTGTCAACTCTGGTCTTAAATTGGGCTAAGATTTATCTGGAAACCACAAGAAGCCTTTATTATTACTTCAACATAGGCAGTGGAGTGCTGGTGGGTTCTGGAGGCAGACGGGCCAGGGTATGAATCCCAGCTCTGCGTCTGATTTGCTGGATAAACATGGAGAGTGAAACTCTCTGGGCCTTAGTCTTTCATCAGTAAAACAGAAATATTAGACGCTACCTTGAGGGGTAGAGTAAGGATTTAAGATAATGAATTTAATGTCTCTGGCACAGAGTAATCATTCAATAAAAAGGCATTCTTCTTTATTCACATCTTGTTTCTTAATATGAATTTGCCATCAATATAAAACACTCAAAGCAAATATAAAATAAATCCTGCTTATACCGGGAGTATAAAATGGTCACAAAGCGAATGGTCTTTGATGTCAGGCAGGGGAGTCTTTGTGTCCTGATAAGACACCTATTGGTAGTGGACTTGGGCGTATTAATTAATCTCTCCAAGCTTCAGTTTCAGCATGGGTAAAACCAGAATAAAAACAGGTCCCACACTATAGAGTCACCACGAGGTTGTGAGCAAACAGACATCAACTGATGCCTGGGAGAGAGTGAGCACCCAATACATAACATTGTTTTTATCATTGTTTTATCATTTATCATAATCGCAGAAGAGAGAAGTGTTTTGGTTGCTCCCAAGTTAGTAAACATACCTAAAATTTCTCAATAGTTTAACTTAGTCATTACCCAGATGGGTGAGGGCAGAATGGTATTTGGAGCATCAACTAATGTGGGATAACATTTCAGAAAGAGTTCCAGGCGCTCTTTCCAGCCCTGCAGGTTCAGGGCCAACCTTCCTCCAATTAATAATCAGATACAAGGACACTGTTGTAAGGATTGTTCACATTGTAGCTTCTAAGAGCAAAAGGGCACTGGGAGACCGGGAAGCAGTTAAACATCATCTCTCCCGTCCAGCCCCAGCCCCAAACCGCATAAACACCCCTAAGCTGGAAGGAAGAGTTTAGGGGAAGGAAAGGGGTTAGAAGCTGTAAGAGTCATGCCCCTCTCTGCCCGCCTCTCCCCTCCCATCACTACCATCGATACCCCCACTAATCCTGCATGAACTTGAATGAGAGGATTTCAAAGGCATGAGATCCACCTCTCATTTAGGATGGTTGAAGGCAGGGGCAGAAGTGACTGTGCGGTGGATCCAGGCAGAAGGCTGTCAAAGACGACGCCCTCCTTTCAGGCTCCTTCCACTCTTGGGGGGGTGAGGGGAGGGAACTGAAATAACTACAGTTGGTGATCCGCAGAGGACAGCTCAGAGCGGATGCTGGTGGGCACCATGGGAGGGGCAACATGCAGAAGGAGGAGACATCTTTGCAAGAGGACAGATGTCCCCTTCCCCTATCCATGGCAGAGGGGAGAGTGGCACTGAGACCTCAGGGATCTCTCGGTGGAGGGGCTGGGTGGGAAAGCCTGGGTCACCACTCAAGGGCAGGCATGCAGGGCCCAGGCCAAGGGCAGGCAGGACATGTTAGATCAGAAGCAGGACGCCAGCCTGGGCAGCGTCAGACAGGAGGGAAGCAGCCTCATTACATCCCAACACTGCCTCTGGGCCCTGGCACAAGCCTCATTGCTTCTAATTGATTTCAGGGAGGTGGGGAAATCTGGGAGCGGGGCTGAAACATGACTGTGACTAAGTTATAGATCTGAATTCATGGAGAACCTGTGTTTTGGATTAAGAAAACCCAGAATTAACTAGAATAAGCTGCCTACCATTGGCAGCTAGGGACTCCAGGTGAGAAACGAAAGTGTTAGAGAAACAGTTAATGCCCTCATTTGTGAACTCCTGGCAGTCTGGGCTTCTGTGTGCCCCAGCGACCTGCCCCAGGGCTGCATTCCCTAGGCATTCACGCTCTCTCGTCCTTCCACATCAGTACTGACTGCCAGGAAGCACTGCCTCGATCCAGGAGCAAGGGGAACCAATCAGCTACACATCAGTGGTACTTACCGATTAGAAATATCACGAAAGAAACCAGTGCCAGGCTAACAATCAGCACGATTATCAGCCCCAACAAAAACAGACTGTGGCTCCCATTTCCTGAGTTAGCGCCAACGTCTGGGATTTTCTCCTCCAGAGCTAATACGAAACAAACAACAAAGACAAAAACTCCTCAGCACACAGCTTGTCAGCAGAACCGAACAGTCCCCCACAAGTAGAGATATAAGGGGTACATCCATTTTCCCTCTGATCACTCTGGAGAGAGACTTCCATTCTAGGAATGTCTTTGGGCTGGGTGCTTTTTGAGAATTTTTTACCTTCTATACAGTATTCAAAGAACAAGCCAGGTCAACCTCTCTCTCCTCAGTCCCTATTTGAAGATTTCCTTGAAGACTATGTTAACACTGTATGTATCAGAACATGGATTTTTCATTTGGGAGGCGGGTGGGGGATAAAGAAGTTAAGGGTTCTGCATGACAGGGGCTCTATGGCCCTTTTCCCAGAGTGACCCAGGAGTAAGACCAGAGGGCTCCCGGCCACTTACTCTGGGTGAAAGGCTGAACACCTTGCAGTATCTTGCAGAAAACTCTATTTCCTGTCAAAATAACCAGTTATGCCTAATCCATTTAAACAACAACAACAACAACAAAATAACCCTGGTGTACTTTGGTTTCTGAAAGCTGTTTTCAGGATGGACATGCTGTGGAAGCCAGGTTCTCTGAAATGTTTTGCACTTGAGCTGAGACGGCAACCACGCTTCTACAACAGCCTGGTCCATCCAAACCATGAATTGTCTGCACATGGGCATCATTTTGGAAGGCATATTTGCCTAATAACACCCGAATTAAATTGAAAAAGAAATACAAAAACTTGGGGTAATGGAGATCCTTGAACTACTTCCGTATTCTCTCCTACTTTGTGTCAGTCCCACACCCTCTGCTACTTGACTAAGGAAGAATGGGTGGCTCGTGCCCCGTGCGTTATAAGGGGGCTGCATCACACCCTCCACAAGGTGTGCCTCCTAATCATAGCCGGGCATAAGCCGGCACCCAAACACCTACATTTAATGAGACTGACTGCATTAAAAACAGGTCAAAATCTGAACAAATTAAAATATAGAGGAAAACAAGAACTCAGAAAGGATTTAGAGGGGGAATTATAGATATAAAACCGGGACAGTAAGAGTTTAGAGTGCGTGTGGAACAAACAGCAAATGGGCATTTATCACCATGAATGTCAGCATTTAAGCTAGAAAAGATGGGGCTCAGAATAACCTGATTGAACTCATTTATAATATTTAGGGGCCAAGATTCACCATAATATTTAGTATTTAGTATACAGCAGATTTTTATTTTGTTTTCTCCCTTCTTTTTCTAATGCTTTAATTGGGGTAATTTGCAATTTAAAACAGGGAGTTGATATTTTTGCCCAACAAAATGTTAATGATGTTTTTTTAGAACTAGTTAAATGTGTGGAACATTTTTCTCAGCAATTCGCCATGAAGTAAGACCCCTCTAGGAAAGTGGGCTCCATCGGTGACCTGGCTGTGGTCACTAGAAGGCACAAAAGCAGCCAACAGGGATGAGTAAGCCTCTGGGAGACCACCTCGGCAGCCTCCAGCGCTTTCCAGGGAGGGACACTCAGCAGGGACGTTTCAGAACTTTGAAGACAAGAGTTCAAATCTTGCTTAAGAGCCAAGAAAGCCCATAAGCCTGGCAAGTATTCAGAGAACAAAAGCAAAAACTGCCTCACAAGAAACAGCATTCTACCGTGGGGCCTTCCGAAGGCCCACCCCGCCCCTCCACGCCCGCAGGTCCAGCTTAGCACCGCTATTTTTAGGTGGCCTAGATGCCTGGCAGGCCGGCCGAGCCTCGGAGGGCACACGTACGGTACAGTTGCTGCGATCCGGCAGGACAGAGGTTTAGTTTGTTTAAGTCATTTATGGAATCCACAACATAAAGCTTTCTATCCTCGGGAATGCCGCTAGAGCCGGTGTCCTGGGAAGAACGATTCATTGTCCCTGGAAGAAAACACTGTCATTAAACACAGAGGCTGGCTGGGGAGCTGGGCTTCAGGAGAATCACAGCCCACAGGAAGCTGATCAGGCACATGAAGAACCACCCATACAGATTACTTCCAGATGAAGGGCTAGAAAAGCTTTGCTTGTCCGTAAGAAAATATTTCCTTCTGGGGACAACTTTTGGAGCTATTCTTTTTGCTTTGCTTGCCAGGAAGCTCAGAATCAAGGGTGTAGCCCAATTGTAAGGCTTTAATACCCTGATGATGTGCATATGCTCTTGTCTCCTCCTCAAATTCCTCAGTTCTGTTTGTATTTTCCCTGGGTCTCTTTTTTTCTTTTGTAATTGATTTTTAAATATTGCCCTTTTATTACATTGGTCATATTCTGCATATATTTGTGCAAGGCGGCTATATATAAACACGTAAAGATAAAATTAAGCTAGGCAGCCTGTGACCATAAAGACTCTGAGAAAAGAAAATACTGTGAACCATTCTAATTGATGAGGCTTTAATACAAAACTATACCTATTAGATTCTCCCTCAAGATGCTGTATGAGTTCCAACCTTAAAGGCATCTTTAGTCCTTAGACACTGGCTCTGAGTCTTCAGGGCAAAAATCTTAGCAAACTGAGATGCTACAGCAGTTGCAGGCTCGACCTCAGGACCCTCTAAGGTCTCTTCCCTGAGTTTCCTTAGATTGAGGTCACTTACATAATAAATAATTTTTAAACTGTAGTTTACATTTCAGGTCATGTTCTCTAATGTCAGCACAACTTCAAGGTACATTGAAAAACCTAAATGGATTTTAAAAATCTATTTTAAGATGTTTCTCTAGTACAACAGAGAACTTGTGGCCTTTTAATTATGTGAAACGAAGGTTCTAGGAAGACAAATTCCAGTTGCTATCAAAGCTTTCTCTTTTACAGTTGTCTCTTTTCATAAAATGAGTCTAATAGTGATGTTTTGATCTGGAAAGGATTTTAGACATGCTCTCCTCCAGCCCCTTTCCTTTCCACAGGTGAGAAAATGGAAGCTCAGAGGGTAAATGCCCGAGATCGCACATGAGCTCGTCGCAGACCTGGCAGTAGGCCTCTGGCTTCACTGTGCCTTCTCCTGCACTGCCTTCTCCATAGGCTCCCTATCTGTTGTCACAATCAGCTCAAACCTCACCTCCAGTAAGAATCAGCCTGTCTTTCCTTTGTGCCCTTGTTGGATGCTGTACATTCTTCTATCAGAACAGCTGTTCTATATTACTGTATTTTCTTACATCTTTGATTTTCCCAATTGACTGAACACCCCATAGGGTGGGCACCAATCTTACTCTTCAAATGCCCAGTGCCAAGTTTAGAAGCCAGTGACTTCTAAACACCTAACATTTAATTTAGGATTTGTATCTCACTATTTCCAAAAGAATTTGAGGCAGTAATAAGTACCCTAACATAAATAAAACTGAGGTAAAAACCCTCATGTGATATTTGGACTTTAGTAAAAGCAATGCAGTAAACTTTGTGCCTGCCTAGATGTGGCAACACACTATCTCCTGTTAACATTTTAAAACTTTCCTTTAATGCCTAGCTACAGAATGAAGGGAAATATGATTAGTGTTAAGAGAAACCAAATTCAGGAAAAAAAAAACATGAACACCTATAGAAGATCTGAAAAAAAAAGTATCAGTCATTTACTAAACAGATTAGACTGAACTCCAAAATATTAAAACCCAGCAATTTCCCAGTTTATACCTAAAAACGTACTAGTACTTGTAAAAAAAAAAAAAAAGTGCTCCCAGAACCCTAGGTAAGAAACACAGTGGGTTTGGAAAGTCATGAACTAGTTAAATTTTTTTCAATCAATTAAAAACTGTAAAGGGTGTTTTATTGATCCTGAAATTTTAATTAACAAGAACATATAACTCCCTGAGGATTTTAGGTAAGGTAATACTGAAGCACTTTAGATACTGATGTTACTGAATTCCAAATACACTTCCTGGAGCACTCCTAAGGGAATGACTTTAAGTGACAAAAAAAAAAAAAAAAAGTAACAGCATATAGAGCAGAGGGGCCTTGGAGATCAATCGACTCTTACTCTTTTACAGATAAAACCAAAAGTGTTGACTGATGTGTGGTCAGATTTCTAAACTATTTTTCTAGAGATTTTATCATCTCTTTATACTTCATTGTCCCAAACACTAATATTTGATGAGGCATAAAGCTTGTATCACATCATAGGATCATTCTTCCAAACACGGCTTCTATTTTAGGCTCAGTGGCTGACACATGGTTCATTTTTGGATCTCTGATTTGATATCCTTGAGCCTTAGCTTCCCCTTTGGGAATGTAATCACTACTGCTTAAATCTCATGCTGAGGCTTAATCAGCGTTTACAAGGTAGAGGACTAGCTAGAAAAATCACAGCCACAACAACTGACTTAAGAGCAGCACAGCTAATAAAATCTCCAAACCACTGGCCCTTGCTGCCAGCTCAAAAGTAATTCAATGCAACATCCAATCCAAAAGCACTAAGACAATAACCCACACTGAACCCTGAAGTGCTCTGAAAGCAGCCATTTGGGTAAAGTTACAATGCAAATAAATGCTATTTCAATGCAGTTTTAAATTAAGTGCAACATGCAAATAGAAGATAAAGAGCCAGTAGGGAAAACACAGTTGGGTGTGGTTCATGGCGGCTAAGAGCCTGCAAATGACTCTGTAAGTAAGTGGATCCAAGATCACATGGCCCTAAAACCAGGACCCACAGCTGTTGACACCCAGTTGTTGCTATCTTTGGCATCTCCATATGAGGGCATCTGGGAACAACCAGCAGGGCTGGAGAAGCCAGTGTTACTAAATTCTGCATCGCACTAACCTGACCCTCCTTTTGACTCTGGTGTGCAAATTTGATCATTAAGTAAGATTGACTGAAGCAGCATCCTTTTCATGGAACCCCTTCTAATACCTTGAGGTGAAACATGTAAGTAATTTCATTTTGCTCCAGTTTAAATCAATGCTAACAGCTGATTTTTTTTTCTGTCATTTAAGAATGCTTTGACTACCTATAATATTCTGACCAATATAGTTGTCTATGAAAGTCTGCTTTGCTCTTTATTTTTTTCCAATAGGTGTTTGGTATCAAACCATAGAAATAACTCCCACCAGTACTGTCCCACAAAATCAGAATTGTTATCATAGGGCTTAATTCAAAGCTAATAGGAAGCTTTCTTGAGTGAGTCATGAAAATTTGTCCTTTAGTTCCATTTCAGAGTCAGTGCCTTCTCAAATACAGGAAGTAATTTTAAAAATAAAGTCTATATCATTTCTATCAGAAGTTAAAAGCACAGGGCACATGCAACAACAACAACAAAAAAACAAACCAGCCTCAAGAATTCACTCTCAGAAGAGTAACAGCATGCAAATTACTTACAAAAATGTGAGCTGTGACTGCTAGATTACCAGGGAAAAAAAATTATTCAGAAGCAACTATGACTTTCTACAAATTCTGCAGTTCTTTCTTTGCCTTCCTTCGGCACGCGAGCACTCCTCTAAGGCCCACAAACCCCAGCATGAAACTGTTGATCTATATTTAGTGTTAATTTAGCCAAGCAGTGTAAGATTCCAAATATTGACTTTTTTCATAAAGCCTAAGGTTTTTAGTTAATATATTCGTAAAACTATGCTTTAAAAAGAAAGAAAACCACCATGCCTTGATTCAATTGGTAACTGATGAGGTTCTTATTGGACTGAGATTTATGTCCTTATTTGGCTGATGTGACTGTGTGAGCTGACAGTTCCCGTCTTCTGCCATACGGCGCTCCCGTGTAAATGTCGGGTAGCAGGCTGAAGCTGCCGCACTAAACTCACTTGCACAGGACTCCAGACCAGAGGACTATAAGAAACAGGAACAGAATAAGGATGTAACAGTCTAACCAGGATGAGGGCAGATCAGAGGACTCCTAGGGCTTCCAGTAGCTACAAAAGCAGACCGCATATGGGAGACTTTACAGCTACAGACACAGTGGCCCTACTGTTTAGTGATGGAAGCACCTTATCTCAACTTTCTTTTCTTTTCAAAGGCTTTATTCTGTGAATTTTTATGCATCCTCCCTTCTCGGGAATCTCAAGCCTCTGACATGGTTCCCGCACACACATGCCAAGGAGTGTCTGCCCTCTGGTGTACATAAAAGAAGCTACAGTGAGGAGAAGACAATCCCGCAAGCCCCCATCCCAGACCACAGACCTGACAGCCCAGCAGGACAGTAAGGGTTAAGTGGTAAACTGATCCGTGATCCTCTGTAATCCTACCTTCCATTGCCATGACTAGATAGACATTATTCATCCTTGAAACACACTGCACTTCAATTAGAAAATGCTCTGCAAAATTCCTTTTACATCTGTATTCAGTATGGACCTCATTCTACTTTGGGGGAAAGATTTATCTATACCCGAGGGCCAGTTCCTGAAGGAAGACAATGTAAGTAGTAACTATTTTCTCAGAAGCCCTTAATACCTTAAAAGCTATCCCAAATCTCTTGAAAAATGAAAATGTTTGTTAGCTTTTGTTTTATCATGTTCAGTTTTAATCTCCCAACTATGTGAACTGTTTTAACCCATCTATTCTTTGAAGAAATAAGAGCTTCATTTGGAACATTTACTACATGTTTTTCTCTCTCCTATAACCTTACAACCCCACGGAGTATTAATGCCCACCCCTTCAGGGATGAGGGAAGTGGAGACTAAACAATTCCTCACACCAAAGTCTGAATTCAACTATATTTTACAGTGAGGAGGATGAGACTTTTTATGGCTTTACTGTTAGTTCTGGAAAATACTTAAAAGCAGAGCAAGCCAGAAAGAGAAAGAAAAATACCATATGAGATCGCTCATATGTGGAATCTAAAAAACAAAAACAAAAACAAAGCATAAATACAGGACAGAAATAGACTCATGGACAGAGAATACAGACTTGTGGTTACCAGGGGGGTAGAGGGTGGGAAGGGATAGACTGGGATTTCAAAATTGTAGAATAGATAAACAAGATTACACTGTATAGCACAGGGAAATATACACAAAATGTTATGATAAAT